CTTCAGGTGTGAATCCACAAATTTGCTACGCAGGCTGTTAGTTGGCCAAGCTTAGGCTGGATCGTGCAGAGAACCAAATACTTACTCGTAGTTGCACTTGAGCTTCTCGGGCTTGTGGTTGCAGCTGCTCTGTCCTTCCCAAGGGCAGTGGAAAAGACCGTCGGGTCCGGGTGTGACATTCTTGTAAAGACGATGGTCCCGAGCTGAGGACTCGCCATCACTTCCGTGTCTACGGGAGGGATATCCATGAGGCATGGCTACGCCCTCCTCAATCTTGGGGACAATAGTGTCCTTGTCTGATGCCATAGAGACCTTGCGCTCCGAACTGATCAAAGATGCGTAAGACGTCTGTTCAGTATTTGCGTTGAAGTATTCAACATACCTAGGCGAATCACCAACAATCTCGGGCGAAGAGTTGGGGCTCAGCGCAGAAGGCAGCCAAACATCATCAACAGTGGCAGGGGAGGATGTCCGGGAGATGGAGCTAGAAAAGCAGTCCCATGAGCCAGGAGACGAATTGTCCGGCAACACAGACTCGGGACCCAAGTGCATATGCGCAGGCACCATGTGCATAGGGCCGGCCTGAGTGACAGCAAAAGCACCGCTGCCGACAGCACTGCCACCACCAGCAGCAATGTTCATGTCAAGCCCCATCTCGGGCCAGTACATTTGAGCATTGGAAGACACCGCATGCGCATCAGCAGCCACGAGAAGACAAGAGTTCATTCCGGCCATGGTTCCAGCGGTGGTAGCAGCTGCGTGGGAAACATTCCTGAAGGCGGACACATTACCTCTGCTCAGCTGTGCATGTTGAGAGAGAGACGAGCCACTGGATCTGCTCGAATCTGCTCTAGCCATGGCTTGAGCCATTACTGAGCTCTGTGTAGTCCTTGGGTTTGTCCAAACAGAATCCATGGAGGCGGCTTGTTCTAGCCTTGATCCTCTGGGAGTAGTGTGGCCAGATGTGAAAAGATAATCCTCGGCTTCTCCAGAATGTGATGATCCATTGTCCGGGAAATCCTGAAAGTTCTGATGGCTCTCTGAAGTGCTTCCCCATGACTGCCCGTTCAACAGGTCTGTCGATGGTTCTGTTTGAGCAAATGAAAACATTGCGGCGGCATTGGAGGCCATTGATGACTGAGGGTAGCTGTAATGATTGCCATGGTTAGTATTTTTACACTACGTTATTGTTGTTCGTCTCATGGAAAAAGAAAATAGAAAAAGAAAAAAAAGCATAGAAAACAGTATGAAATCTAGCATGAGTCAACTTTGATCCTGAGAACGGTTAGCCACATATGTCAGTCGGGTCTTCGGGGAATGATTGTACAAACCCAGCTTATGTACACTGTACAAGTTTTTTTTTTTTTTTGACAGTAAGGGACTTGCAATCCATAGGCCGAACGGCGTGGGATTCCAGCGATCAAAATGTCCATGCTAAGCAAATTCGGTTCCCACTGTGGCGTGCTGACAACGCATAAGTCGGCATATCAAGTCATCCCGTGGTTCGTTGTCATTCAAAGCATCACGTCGACAATCCCATTGAAATCCGAGCATCATATTTGCCGATTCAAATCTCTCCAGCCATGGAAATATACGGTTCGCTAAGCGCCAGGAATAGGGCGATACTGAAATCATATTCGCTGGTCCAAAAACAAAAACAGAGCATGTCCATGGTAAAGTTGACCGATAAAATGTGGTCCAAAAATCCATTTGCGGGCTTATAACCATGTATTCACAGGCTTGTGTAAACTGTTGAATCCATTCGCGGCTGCGATAGCAATCAAATTGGATTGCGCGAACTTTGATTAAGTTCTTGAGCCGACGTTTACCACGCGTCAGCTTAACTCGACAGATTGGCTAATCTGCGGTCCATATGTCCATGTATGCACACTGAGGAAATCAGAATGCTCGATCCAAAAAAAAATTCAACGCTGGTCCTGTACACAATTATAAAATCCGAGGAGTTTTATGGTCCTTCATGCTCCAAAGGTTCGAGAGTCCCGGATTCTTCTGTTTTAATACGCAATCAAGCGGGCCATACTCACTTTGATGGCTCTGTAATTTTATGTAATCTGTTCCTTGCCCGGCTCGGGCAAGTACTGTCCCCGTTTTGTATCCGCGGAAATGCCGTTGTAATCCGGATATGTGGCTAGTTCAATGTCCTGGGGGGAAATGGTCCTGATGGTACGCAAGATCCGTGTGTAATCACAAAAAGAAAAAAAATAGAAAGGCAAGCAGAATGAAAAGACATGATTTTTGCGCAACATGAACAGACGATATGAAAGTCCGGGAGTTTGAAATGGAGAAAAAACAGTACCTAGAAAGTGATTGGACCTCTTCAAGGTCAACTGTGCTATTGTAACCTGGCATATTGGCCGGGTGTGACACAACAAGAGCAACTGGCATTGTATATCCTGGTGGAATATGGTGTGGGAAAGCACACAGACACAGCCAAAGACCAAATCAGATCAACTTGGAAGTCTCAGTGGCAAAAATGGAAAACAGTAGTCCCAGCGGCAGTGAAAAGCTATGGAGCTAGACGCCTTGAAGCTTGTAGTGCAAACAGGAACAGTGCAGGTATATCCTCGGTTTGTATGTGTGTGGATGGGGGCAAGTGGTAATCCTTGGGGCTGGTCTTGTTTGTGGAAGATCAGATTGGTTGCGGGAGAGAGTTTCTGTTGCGACTGAGGGTGGCAAAGCTTGTTTTGAAGAAGAAACAAAGTGGTCGTCGGCAAGGTGAGTTGGGCTGCAATCCAAGGAGTTGGGCAGGAAATTACAAACGAAGGAGAAACCAGTCGGGCCACGAGGGGAACTGCGGGTTTTATTGTTGCAATGGACGCCCGACGACGATAGATGAAGCCGTCCGCCAGGAGTGACCAGGACCGGCCAGCTTCAGTCAGGTTCAGTCACCTCCTGCAACGTCAACAACGCCTGCAGCGAGGCCTGCAGAGGCCTGCAGAGGCCCGCATGGAATGGAGCGCCGCTGGCATCCCTTGGCCAAATGACGCCAATCGCGGGCGGCCGTTTGGTGGTCCGGCGACTGCGGACGTGGGTGAACGGGGGGACGCATGAATGCGCTGGCAATCCCACAGCAAGTGATTCGTCTTGTCATACAGGGGTCGTGGCGGTGGCCGTCTTCCTTGCTTGGCCAGCGTCTCACGAGAGTGTGCCATGGTGGAGAAGCGGATTCACGGCAGGACGCGTGAATGGTGAAGACGGCGCCAGATGTGACGACAGTCTGCCAGCGCGACCCGGCACGAGGCACAGAACAACAAAGCACTGCATATTTGGGGCTGTCGAGGAGGAAACAGAGCATCCAGTCAGAAACAGCGAGACGGGGGTTGAGGACGAATTTTTCCTCTCGCCTCCGCTGAGGCCAAGATGCCAGCAAGCCTCCCAGCCTCCCAGCCTCCGTCATGAGACAAACAGGAGGAGCAAGGGGCGGTCGGCACACGGCTGGCCACGATCTATCACGCAACAATCAGATTGCCCATCAACGTGGCCGAATTGCCGTTACTGTGTCATCTCCGAACATGCCATGTTAACCGGCCATTACAAAGGTGCTGCGTATGTACAACGGTTTCGACTCTAATGGCCAGGAGCACGGCATGGCTGTGAGTTGTGACGACGACTGTGCCAACACCATTCATCGTGTGACCGCTCTTGCGTTGAGGACGAGGTTCGCATGTCCTGACGTGGCTATTCTATCCAGCATCGAAGCGGGGTCAAGCGAGGGCCAGCTGGCGTGAGACAAACATTGAACGACTGAAAAAATTTTTACTTGTCAAAGACCCTGATGGTTTGATGAGGCAGCGAATAACATGCCACTCGCGGCAGCCACGTAGCCATGCTCAGATACAAAGTAGCTGAATAACACGTTTCCGAATCCAGCCCTTTCGGTATGATGAGGCGGACATGAAATCGACAGGTGAAGTGTTGCAGAGGATAGGATGATGGAGTGTTCGATATCTCGTTACTGTTGCCGCTGTGGCCGGCTCCGAAGCTGCTCAAGATGCCAGGCAAAGACGGGAATGGGAGGCGTGGCACGGCTGAAGGCTGATTGATAGACGTGCTAGGTATTAACGGGACGGCTCGCGTTTGCACGTGGGGCTGTGGCTGGATGGCATCACGGCCATGTATTGACCTTTGCTGTCGTCGTCGCCGCTGACAGTACAACGGGAGTACGGAAATGTGGAATGCGGAAATCGGAAGAGCAAAGCAGGGGTACGAAAGTACGGAGCAGTAGTCAAGCGATTTTACGGCCACTGGCTGGCGTGCTTCCTCGACCGCAACACGTGATCAAGAAAGTCTCTCGAGTCTCGACACGAGACGTCTCTGGCGTAATAATCGTACGGGACACGGTATCGACGTTAGGATTCTATTCATTTCAGTATCATGCAAATTCCCCGCCGCTTCAGGTTCGCATCCATCATAATGAGGCTACCAAGTATGCAGGCCGGCTGTATTCTCGACCCGACAGACGGCGGTGTGCCTCGTGCTGAGTCTGCTGGCTTTCATCCGCTGTGCTCGTTCATCCACGTTGACCGCCTGCCAACTCGCAATCTACCGCATGGAAGAGAACTGAAAACGAAACCGACCGTTGACCATAATATCAGTTGTTTGACTCAAAGATCGCCGATGACTGCTATAGGTAAGGATCATGGTATTGCGATGCATGACGGGCACCACGACCAAGGCATTCTTGGTCGTGTTGCTAACCTCGAATAATCACGAAGTTGGGGACAGTGATGTCATCGCATAAAATGCAATTTGAGTTGGTTCACATCAGACATGCAATGTGAAAGTCTCTGCCGCCAGTAACCGTCAGCGTCTTTCGGACAAAGAAAACTTTTGCTCTTTGTTTGTTTATCTTGCACTTTGGACAGAGAAAAGCCGATCAAGGCGTCGGTAGAGCGTATACCAGCAGCACACTGTGGCTCCACGTCCATGACAGGAGCATGAGGTATTGCTGCTAGGACGAGGTTGATCCCATATCGGTTTTAACTGTCGACCCCGAAGTCATGGATGGCTCTCTTGGCCGCGACCAAGAGCATTGCAACCGCCACATGGGGGCCGAGATCAGATCGAGGAGGGCTGGCGTAAGCGACGGTGAAGAAGGTGAGGCGGTGGTTGGGACCACGACCAGCAACGGCGTCGGCGTTCGACGCAGCTACAGGAACAAAATGTCCATCACCAAAGGCCGTAGCCTCATTGATGCAAACCACAGAAAAGGCAAACAGCCACAGATCACCTCGCATCGATTCGGTGGTCAGCATGCCCTCCTTATGTTCAACACGCATGCCGCGTGTCCACGGCCGAGAGGCATGGCATGTTGCTCACATCACATTATTATCTCAAAATTGGTATATCGCTCTCTTGCTTTGCAGGCCCCGCCCTCGTCAAGCAACCCAACTTGCTAAGGCTGGGTGTTAAACTGGGCATGGATGAGGCATGATTGGGCATCGTGCATAACATCATGGGGTTTGCATGTCCTTCTGCGGCGTCTCAAGCGGTGATATTTGTCCCCGACATGCACGGCAGCATCACTAACATAATACATACCTACCTAGGCAGGTCCTGGACGAGTACGGAGCAGTAACTCGCGTCACGTTCTCTCAGATCTGGCATACAATCTGCATCAACCAGACTCGGTGGACTTTTGGCCGGGATATGGAGGGGTCCGGAGCATTATCGCATTGATCCAGACGATTTCTTCTTGGTTCTGCTCCGCATTGTGCCCTACCTAGCGTTATTGCTGCCCAAAGCGTGTATTTTGTGCAGCCGAACAAGAATTTCGTGCTTGACTGGAACCTAGTCCGTGCTCTGTAGCCCTTGGTGTCTTCAAGTCTACAGGGAGGTTCCCTGTTCACAGGTCTGCTCTGACCCAATTCCGATCCAGTGACGACGGGCAAATGCTGAAGGCTCAATTAATACGGAGTAGTCCCACTGGGCATTTCAAGACTGGCAAGGGGTGGTTGTTGGTTGGGCCGAAGTTGGCTTTTTTTTTCCTTCTGTCGGCTCGTCAGCCACCAGACTCCTTGGGCAACAATGCAGATGCCCAATCAGCCTCGGCGCATCGAGTGATGCGCCATGTACTCCGGCCACAGAACATATCGGCTTGTCGTCTTGCCGAAGCTTGAAAAGGATGTAACTCGGCGTACTCCCTGAAGGAAAGTTAAAAAAAGAAATACGGAGTATTGCAGAGTAGAATTGTACGGAGTAGAGGCCCGAGTATGCTGGTGGCAGTGGTGCCTGAGGCTGGGCTTCGGTTGGGCCCCCATAAACGCCACCTTCATCTCTCCCCTTCACTCAAATGTGTCTACGGAGCAGTAGTAGTACTCCGTATTGCACGCTGAAGTCCATAGCGACACATGTGCAAGCAGAGTGACAGTAAAGAGCCCATTTATCCGCAGACCCAGGAGCGGAACAGCAGGTACCCGGCGAAGACAGAGCGCCACATCATCGCTGCACCGATTTGGTGTCAATGGTTTACATGTACATATGTATGTACAGACTCTGCATTGTTGCCGCCAATATGGTCACGCTTCTTGTCCTTGCGGCTGACCCAAAATAGCCTCAAAATACGCTTGGCATTGCTCCGTATTCTGGAAATCTCTCCCCGCTATGTGGTCCCCAGTAGGAACGCTACCCGTTTCTCAGCCAAAAGCAATTCGTATGTATGTATGTATGTACGGAGTAGTGTGCGCACAATCGGCGCAGGCGGCAAAACGCCCAGCTCCGTCTTGAGTTGCATCATGAGTCTGGGACTCCATACTTGCGTGTTGTACATACGGTATGTAGCTCGGACATGGACATGGATATGAGCATGGACCTGTTCATGTCTCTGTTGTTTCCCAACGTTGGCCACTCGGGCTTCGGTGGTCGATCCATTCAGGCGAAACCCCAGCAGCGTCTAGCATGGGGTGTAATTTGCAAAAACAAAAAGAAGAAGAAGAAGAAGGAGAGTGAGGGACTCAGAGAGGACCTGAACGCGCTGTGTTGTTGTTGTACATGGCTTCGAGGCATGTCTATGGATGATGCAGATGTACTCCCTACAAGACTGCTCCGTTGCTTCCTTCTAGTCACTTCGACATGGGTTCCTTCCTAGTTCCTGGCTGGGCACGCCTGAGTCCCTTGAAGCAGCACAACCGGACTGCTAACATCAGGTACCAGACATGTCTCAACCACCAGACTGCTCAACTCTCGTGCTCCAATGGACAAATTGATACAAGGGTCAACGGTCAATAGTAGTGCTAGGATTTAGTGCTCCCCGCTGTTGCTGCCTTCAATGTTTGGTGGCTGGCCTGCTTGACGATGCCCATCACCCAGCACCCATCACCCATCACCTCAAGGTGCGCGGCAGTTTCATCGTCAGACATAAAACACCTACATTCCGGAACCAATCTTTCCAGACCTGTTCCCTTTTCTTTCCCCTTCTCCCAACCCAATCCAAACTCCAGAGCTTGAGATTCTAACATTTCCTCTTCCCGCATCAGCCACATCCTATCCTTCTGCCAGGTACGGCGTAGAGTCGTGTACGATACACTTGTTCAAAGCAGAGAAGAGGAAGAAGAAGAAGCCAGACACTCTACCTGAGCCGTGGATATTCATTCCCCCAAGGACTGCACTATAATCTAGTGCCTCTCTCTCTTTTTTATTTCTGTACCAAGCGGCCACATCCAGTCAGTCGACTTTGGTCATTGCAGGTGTGGACTTGGTCACCTGCACTTCGGATCACACCGCTGCTTGCCAGCGCCCAAGGAAAAGAGAGCTCCCAGGACTGTCGTCATTTCTCTATGCATTCCCCAGGCCAATTGGATCTTGCATTTCTCTAAGGACTTCTTTATTGCCGGCTCTTCCACAGGATCCTTGTTTTGCATACTACTGCTAGCTAAAAGCTGCGAGGACTGCCCCCGTCCTTGGGCTGTATTGCTGCTACCCGCGTTTTGGCGTACTCGCTCGCTCGCTCCGGCCGCGCTGCGCATTTGCTTACATTGTTTCTTTCGCCATTGTGCTTTTTCTTTTCCCTGTCTTCTTTGCCCAAGTCGACAGGACACAACTTGTCTTTCGGCGGGGAAAAGTCCATTTTGCAGCATGGTTCCAGGAGATATGCCGCAAACTGCATTGGCTTATAAGAGCACTCCCATTTCCAGAGATCCGTGGAACACAGGCCACAGGTGCGAGAGTCACAATGCCTCACTGTTGTAGACATGATATACTGACATAGGTTGTAGTGCATTGGTTGACCCATATGGCAATGATGGCTTCGGAAATGGATTCTATTCCCCTCCCAGGTAAGAATCAAACCTCCCCATCTACACACTTCCTCGAGGACACATGAATAACACTGGTTCCTCAGCATCATGAACCCTAGTCATTCTTATGCTCAGAACGGAAATATTCCCAGAAGCGGAGGCGGCTACAACACGCGGGCTGATACATTTTCCTCTGCTTCGTCAGGTTATGCGTTGCGAACTCCGGCTACCGCCTCTTCATCCATGGCGCCTGCATTCAACGGTTACAAGAGCCCAGGCAAGACGACAGGCTGGGACAATCATGGGCGATATTCCCCCACGGGCTCCCTCGAGGAGATGGTTGCTTCTCCCAGCTTGTCTGATTATTCCGTCGAGAACGTCATGGGAGTGACTAGCCCACAGCAGAAGCCGCGCCATAGTGGCAAACGCGGCTCTCAGCGGCGACCGTCGAATCGAGATGAGTTTGACGGTCCCCATCAGTTCTTGCAACGTCCTCCACAAGAGGTTATTGATATGCAGGAGAGGGAGTTACCGCACCTCCCCACTAATCTTCACGTTCAAGAGCAGGACACCGTGCTGAACCAGGTCAACGATCGGCTCTCACAGTGTGCCTTTGACTTCGTGGCCAAGTATCAGTTCCCTATTCCCCTGACACAGGACATGCGACCGGTCGAAAGACCACAGGATCGTGAATGGACTGAATGGGTGTACCTGCTCAAAAGATTGGCAACTAAGCGACGCATCCCTGCAAGAGTCTTGTACAATGGTCAGATCAAACAATTCGTGACCATTCTAGAAAACTCACTGGAGATGCGCCACGCTGCCAAACACCAAAGCCGTCCTCTGAAAGACGACCGGAACATACTGCAGCTCATCTCTGCAGGTATTCAAGTCGCCAAAATCTTGAAGGACGCGTCGGCCATGGACTACCTGGACCACTTATACGTTGAAACAGAATCTCGGATTCAGGAACGCACCAAATCGCGATTCCGATCCTAAGTTTTGCTGCACTTGCAAGCCAGCACCCATTATACGTTTTTTTGATACCAGAATCCCTTCCTCCCTGAAGCGAGGATTCTCTTAGCATCTACCCAAGGGATGTTTTTGAACCAGATTGAACAAGTGAAAGGGGAGCAATGTGCCATAGCCTCCTTAATGATACAGCTGGATAGGAAAAGACACGTTTTATGATGATGACTCTATTTTGTACATGGATTCTGAAGTTCGACAGCACGCTGGTTCGCTCGTTGCAGGAACCGTCCGTTAATTGATGAGACAGGTGGGTTTGTCCATTGGTGTTTGCCTGCTATCACAGCGGCCACGATGTCCGGTTTTCGTTAGAGTTGTTTTTTTAAATGCAAGCATTTGCCGCCAATAGTCCCCGTCTCCATTAAACTGGCGCAAACCACAGCTATGGGTACATGATGGTATGAGATGCAAATATGAGCCTGGAGGTGTATTAGTAGTTCCGTAGGGATAGATTTTTTATAGCGTAACATGTATTCACTTGCCGTTGAGACAAAGTGTGTGTGTGAACTTTCTCAGTAATGGACGATCTGCAGCATGGACAAGTGCGAGACCAAGCCAAAGCTTCCTTGTAGGGTAGCCATCAGCCTGCCAGCCAACTCTGACTCTCCTTTATCAAAGGCAAACGCCACCCCGTCAATCAGCGACCTACGGCTCAGCCCACACTCGGCAACTCAACCCATCGGTCAGAGAATTCACGGTCAGAGAGCCGTAAACGCCATGCGGCTGCATGTGGTCCTGACACGCAATGTGGGTGGTCGACCATCCCGCACGTTCTCACCTCATCCCAGTCTTTCGGTATTCCAATTCGGTATAGCGCCATTTAGAAACCGATGAGGCGACTGCGGGTGAAAGAGTGTAATGCCTTCCTTAAAGTCCATCTTAACCCTACATTTCTAATCTTTACATATTCTCAACTGGTACATGGGAGGACGTCTACCGTGGACCTCCCGACTCGCGAATCGCTGCGCTGATTTTCTGCGCGGTCAATCGGGCGAATGGCCTGAAGCTGCGCTAAC